TAAGCCATCCGAACAAAATGACTTTACTGTTGCCAGTATCAGGTCCTGTTCATCAGGGCGTCTGGGAGGCCTCAAAGAAGTATGTCTGAAGCTCGTTCGATGAAAAGCTTAACTCCAACAAATGCAGAGTGCCGCACGAGCTTACATGAATGCACCCATCAGGTCTTCTTGCTGCCAACTCACAAAGTTTTTTTTGACCCGTTCCTACTTAATTAAGCAGGCGCTTCCTTAATTAAGGAATAAGTTCGCTCCCAGCTACTTAAGTTTCTAGTAACTGGACATAGGATAGCTCACACACACTAATGATTTGGTTCCTAGATTTTTGGGGAAACTTAACGTGGCAGTATGTTCGTTGCACCAATGAAGTCTTCTTGCTGCCAACTCACAAAGTAGAATATTCTCTTCCCTGAATAGATACCTGTCAGCAAAACAAACATCATGTAGTCCTCATCTGATCATCTATGCTCTGCAAACATAACATGCTTCAGAGAGCACACAACAGAAAGAAAATGCATGAGATCCACAGATTGTTGGCCCGTTGGCGTGAACTCAAATTCAACAGTCTCCTTTTGGACAAGCTCGCTTCGCATGCCAGGCTACGATCTCGCAGGGTCTCGGAGCCCGTTTGCAGTAGGAGCCAGTAATACCTTAACGCACAAAGGTATTGGCTTTTGAGCCGGAATGTGACTAACAACTTTGCAGAACGATCAAATCAAACGGATGCAAATCAACCTAATAGCAATGGCCTCCAACCTAATAGCGATGGCCTCCAACCTAATAGCAATGGCCTCCGGCCTCACAGCGATGGCTTTCAACCTAATAGCGATGGCCTCCAACCTAAGAGCGATGGCCTCCAACCTAATAGCAATGGCCTCCAACCCAGTAGCAATGGCCTCCAACCTAACAGCGATGGCCCCCAACCTACTACGATTGCCTCCAACTTAACAGCGATGACCTCCAACATAATAGCAATGGCATCCAACCTAATACCGATACCCTAATAGCGATTGCCTCCAACCTAATAGCCATGGCCTCCAACCTACTAGCGATAGCCTCCAACCTAATAGCAATGGCCTCCAACCTAGATACCTAATAATGATGGCCTCCAACCTAATAGCAATGGCCTCCAACCTGATAGCGATGGCCTCCAACCTAATAGCAATGGCTCCCAACCCAATAGCGATGGCCTCCAACCAAGTAACAATGGCCTCCAACCTAATAGCAACGGCATCAACCTAATAGCAATGGCCGGCCTCTAACCTAATAGCCATGGCCTCCAACCAAGTAGCAATGGCCTCTAACCTAATAGCAATGGCCTCCAACCTAATAGCGATGGCCTGCAACCTAATAGCAATGGCCTCCAAC